GAAAACTAGATCCCAGTTCCATCATAAACTATCTCAGTTTATCAAAACATAACATTCTAAATGCAGCCTTGCATAACATCAACAGAAACACCAGTTTGGCCCCCTAAAAATATAGGGAAAAGAAACACAAATTTAAAATTTTAATTTGTAATTAAACAAAACCTCAGCACAACTGAGATCCCATGCTGGTAAATGAAACCAATTAACCAGCCCCAATAAAATTTAGAAATCCATGCGGAATCCCTTCCCACGTTACAATCCACATCCAGACCAATCCAACATCAACAATCCCAAAAACCAAAACCCATCTCGCAGAAATTAAATACCAATAAACCCTAATAAAAGAAATCTAGAATTGAAAATTCTATCTTGACAGGATTAACATGAACAAAGAAGATTGATAATTTTTATCAGGGACAAAACCAAATCATATTAATTACATTATCCCAAGCTCAATAAAAACTCCCCTAACAATTAAGAACCGAAAAATCGAAGATCGCCAATAAAAACCCCAAAACCCCGATCAAAAACAAACCCTAAAACTCGAATTGAAAACACCCCCCTCCCCTAAAACAGAGAATTAAGATGAATTGAAAATTGCAAAAGGCATCCTACAGATCGAATCGCAAGAACAAACCTGGAACGAAGAAGGAGGTTTCGTCAAATGGGCTATAGCAGCTCTGAGATTCTAGAGAGAGAAAGAAAGAACGGAGAGACAGAAGGAGCGGGCAAGAGAGAGAAAGAAGAGAGAAGAGGCGGAGCCCAGTCGAGAAAATTTGTATTTTAATTTAATCAAATCAAAAAAAATTAACGAAAACCTTGGTCCGTTTTTAATTAAAAAAACAAATTTTTCCTTTTTTGGTATAATTTTGTTTTTAAAATTAAAAGACAAAGAATATCATGTCGGCAGCAAAAATAAATAAGCAAACAAATATTGAGCATTTGCACTTTATTGCACTACCTAATTTAAATTATTAAAAAAGAATAAAATTTTAATATTAAAAATTATTTTTTATATTTAATAATTTTTATTTTATAATTTAAATAAAAACACAATTCTCATAAACAAATTATGATAAGGAGGAAAAAGACAAAAATGATAAATAATAAGGTTAACCTAATAAATATCTGTTTCTCTAAGCTAATATATGTTCAATTAAAATATAAATTAAAAGTATAATAAATATGTTTATAATAACTAAATTATTAAAAAATTTGAAAAGTGAACATTTTATTTAATATTATTAATATGTTATGTAGGACAAGAGGCTGGTGTTAATGAGAGTTGTAGCAGGGTAGATGTGGATTTGGAGAAGATGAAATTGGGGGAATGGTTTGATTTCTTGGAGGTTCATCTGCCAAAGCAAATAATTGAGCAGACGGAGAAGATGATTGAGGAGATGAGGAGGAAAGCAGAGAGGGTCCATGACTATCTGATGGAGCAGAAAAAGGAGGGTAAAGTAGCAGAGGGCTAGTGGGAGAAATGAAGGTCTGTAATCTTAAGGTAATTGATATCTCAATTTCAGTGACCTGTATATTCCAGCATGATTTTGAAGTTATTTTATAGGAATCTCTATTGATCATAGCCCTATGTCGTGAGTGAATTTGTGCTGTATGTTATTTCTTGCTGGCTTAATTGATTATATCATACATGACTAACACTGAAAATATATTGTTTAGGATTATACTGTTCATTAAGTTGTGTGTGTGAGTTTCCAACTTCTGAACTGGCATGATTTGAGAAACTGTCAAAAAAGCTAAATTGTATGTTTGTGCATGTTACAAATTCAGATAAAGTTTTGAAGTTTAATTTATTGTCTGTTTTATGCATTGTCAGGACATACCATCTTTTGGTATTGAAGTACTTGACTCTGGTAGTAATGCTAGGGATTGTTAGATGGTAAAATGCAATCTTCTGTTCTTTCCTGTGTATGCGATTTGTAAATTGTAATGCCTGCTTTATGGAAGACAGGGTAGTGGGAAGGGAAAGTGATGTTCCACTTAATGTTTTTGTAACATGGAAGGAGTTTGATTTATTTTCTTCTGTCACAAATGATATGATACTTTTCCTTTGTATCTCCTATGATACTGTCATCTTCTTATAAGCTCTCTGTTGCTTGATGCATTACATTATTATCCAGGGTCCTTGCCATTTTGTGGATATGGTGGTGAGCTTTAGAAAACCAGCTGCAGAAAGAATTCCTCATATTGCTTTTGGTTGGAATGCTAATGGCAGCATACAGCTATGTTGATGTAGCCAATGATTGTAGGGCATTATTTTCCCTTGACTGTTCTTTCTTTCTTTCAAGCTCTGGGTGATTTCCCTACTTTGGAAATGGCAAGTAGTTATACATTCTCATTTCCCCAGTATTGAAATTGAAATATGGCTATAAGGTTCATTTTTGTCCATTTTTTAACCACTATGGCTACAAGGTTCAATCCCTGAAACCTCTCACTCAAGTCTCTTGTAACTTCCACTCAGACCTTGCAATTATGATAGGATCCTTACAACATTGCCATTTACTAGATGGATCTATTGTTTAAATTTGTAGCATTTAGTATTTGATGCAAACAATGTCTGTTGCAATTTTTATGGCATGAACCAGCGAAATGTTGAAGAATATTTTTTGAAGTCATTGTATGTAGATAAGAGATTAGTGTTTATGGATAAATGGTCCTGTTTATCTGGATGTATTTTCATACCTTGTTTCTGTACTCCATATTGCAGTAGATGTAAATCCTGATTATTATAAAAGCTTTGATTCTGCCCCTGTAAAATAACAGGGGATTGTAGAGAACTAAAGGCTGTTTTGGAGAATCCAACGAGTATGTTCATTAAGTTTCTCATTCTAGATGATAAACCCAGATCTATTCATGACGATGAGGTTCCCGAAAACTTGTTGCAAAATAGGAGAAAATCATTGTTCTGTTGCATGCATCAAGAGTGCCCTTAATTTTTCTTGGTTCATCTTTTTGTATCAGATAAGATTTAGGTATGATTCCTTTGTACCCAGAAGCAAGCACTTAGAGATGGCAAAAATCTAATTGAGCCCCTCACTTTACCAAGTTTGAAGGCTTTAGCCACTTATCTTATATTATAACACTTTTAACCCCTCACCTTACTGGATTTGTAAGTTTTAACCCCTCACTTATTAAAATCGAAGAAAACAACTCTCATGTTATATTAACTATTAACTCTGTTAGCTGAAAGTAGATTTTTATCAATTAACAATCAATTAATAACCAATTAACAGAATTAACGAAATATTATAAAGTTAATTATGTTAATTTTGTTAGCTGAAACTAATTGAAAAAATATTTTTGACAATTAACAGTCAACTAATAATCAGTTCATAGAATTACTAGTTAGCTAACAGAATTAACAAAATGTTACAAAGTGAGAGTTATTTTCTTCAATTTTAATAGATGATGGGTTAAAAGTGTTAAGGAGTGAAAACCCACAAATCTAGTAAAGTAAGGAGTTAAAAATGTCATAATATAATGTAAGAGATTAAAACCTTCAAACTTGACAAGGTGAAGACTTAAAAATAAGCTTTTGCCCTTAGAGATTACTGTGGGCATTCCATTATTTTTTACTTTTTTTTCTTTAATAATCATGTTTTTCAAGTTTGACAGCACAATATAAATACAATTTAGGCAATGAAATGACTAAAATATTATTAATAAATTAATATAGATAAGAATTTTATTAAGAGTATTTTAATTCTAATAAATTTAGGGTCAGACCTAAAAATTTTTTTTTATTTTTCTTTTCAATATTTGCATCTCCTTATTCATTTTATAAGTGTCTGATTTATATTTTGGTATATTTTCCTCCATGGTCAGCTCTGTATCTCATTTAACAATTTATATTTTATAGCTTAATATATTCTAGCATGCAGAACATGAAAATTATAATTAAAGTTGAACAATTGAAAGTTCTTAAATTTGAGGTCTAGTTAAGCTTCTTCTTTCTTTTTTTTTTTTTTTGAATCAAAGGAAATTTGAAAAAAGAGAAAAATATTATAATTATTTCAATAAATACTTAAATTTTAATATAAATTAAAATATTTGGAATACATTACTAATCCACAAAGGTGCTAGTGCTAAGTCTAGTTAATCTTGAAAGAAAATATCACATGGAGACTTGAGAAAAGGAAGAAAAAGAAAGAAACAAATGGTAGCAATTATAGACTAGGACATGGCATGTCTTCACCGAAAAAAGACAAACAAAAATAGGCTAGGACATGAGACAACTTACCTGAAGCATTTTGTTTTGTTTTTTTTTTTTTAAAGTACAATAAGATAATAAAGTGTACGATAAAAAGTAAATTTTTTTTTTCTTTTCAAACTCCTTCCACCCATATTAAAATTTATATTTAAGAAGATTTGATGGCTTAACCAAAACTCAGTCAAATCCAAACCCAAAGCAGTGGAAATAATTGGGCTAAGATTTTTGTTTTAACTGCTAGAGTATTTTTAGATTAGAGTATATATATATATATATTAAAGAATTAATTATTTAATAATATGAAATTTTAAATTTTTAAATTTAAATTTAAATTTAAAATTTAATAAATATTA